GGTAAGTGTGTTGTTTTTGTAGTGTTGTGGTGCAGCCATGCGAGCAGCTGTGTGCGCCCGTTGATGACATTGACGCTGATAGTGTTGATGTGCTCTTGCACTTGCTATCTGCTTGCAAGTAAGCACTGGCTCGTCGCCTCGACACACGTACACTTATATCCGTACATGCACATGCACAAACACAAACACACACGCACACGCACACGCACACAAACACAAACACACACACACACACACTCTCTCTCTCGCTATCTGTCCCATTGTTTCTTCGTGCAGTGATTGAGCAGTTGGAGGCGCAAGCGAGTGTCAACAGCAACTAACTTGGGCACCAGCTGTCTGCACACTCAAAGGACTCGGCTGCGCTACCAGCAGGCCTGAAGACATGGCACGCCCCCACCCTCCCACGCATGGCACACTGCCAGTGAAGTGATGGCCTTGCGACGAGGGAGCAAGAGGGGAAGAGGCACAGCTACCTAGCTGCAGGCGGAAGGGCAGAAAGAGAAGATGAAGCGCCGTGGGCCGTCTGCCAAGGGACATTGTATTGCAGATGGTGTGTCATGCGAGTATGTAGATGTACTGATGTAAAGTGACCTCGTGACGTTTGTCTGTTTCTTCATAATCCCCTTAATACAGACAAGACAACTGATATGACATGGCACATAACACACGAGAACACTTGAACGTGCAAGCTTGGGGCGACATGAAGGCTAGGAAGACATGACACTGAGACACTGAGCCAGCAGCCCAACTCACGTGCTCACGTGCACGTGCTCATGTCTCATGTCACATCACACATCTCACACTCATGTCAAACCAACTCGACCAACTTCCCCTTCAACAGCACAAAAATTATCACATTCATCAATCACTGCTTTGCTTGCCGAAGAGGACTGATGGAGCAGGTTTGCTGTGGATATGTGATGGTGATGGTGATGGTGATGGTTGTGATGGGCGCGCAGGCGCCCTTGTGGACGGGTGGTGGTGTGGCGTGCCGTGGTGCCGTTGCACTGGTCTTGGCCAGCTTGCCTGCGCCCCTGTCGAGCACATAAACGTGCACACAGGTGCACTGTGCGTGCGTGCCATGGCTGCGTGAGCACAAGATGTGCAGACGTGCGGTTGTTGCTCTTGTGCTCATGGATGTGTGCTTGTGCCTGCGTCTTGGCTGTGTTGCCCCTTCGTAGGTGCTGGCTATTCCGGAGTTGCGTGAGCACATACTGTCGTTTGTGCGTGGGTTCCGCGACCTGCAAACAGCGTACAATGTGTGCACGGACTGGAGAGCAACCATGCGACACATTATGCGAGGTGTGCGTGTGTGTGCGTGCGTGTGTGCGTGTGTGCTGCAAGTTCATGCTCCAGGTGTGTGTGCGCAAAGTCGTGTCAGGCAGTCAGTGTGCAGTCGAGCGCGTGTGTGGTACTTAGTCTGACTTGCTTGCGCCCTCATCCTACATCACGCGTGTGGGTGCTCGTGTGGGATTGACATGTCGTGTTTGCGCTGGATGTTTGGTGAACAGCACGAGGGCTGCAGCCTTGGCCGGTCCTGTCCTCCGCGTGTGATGAACACGGGCACATCGTGCCTCGGCTTCGGGCCGACTTCAGCGCTTGGACCAGCAACGCTTTAGTGATTCCATCGTGCATCCTTGTGTTTGTGTCCTGCCTGAACCACAACGAAGCAGCATCCTTGTAAGCTGGATGCTCTCCTTGCGCTCGACTGCGCTGCTCCCGTGCCTACTTTGCGTCATGGCCCACTCCCACACGCGGAAGCGCTCCCATGCTCGCTCATATCACCAACATCACTATTCCCACCCCACTTGACACCCTCTCACCCACTCACCCACTCTCACTCTCTCACTCACTGTCGCTCACACTCTTTGTCCCTCCCACGATGCCGACAGGCACTTTCTCGAGGCGCTTCGGGACCAGCTTGGTGTTTACCGCGCAAAGCTGCTGCTCTGCTCCGGCCAGGGCATGTTCCACCCAGGGCAAACTCTCGTGAGTGTGCCCGCGCGTGCGTGTGTCGACAAGTGCGCCTTGTGATTTGTGTGCAAAGCTGAGGCTGTCACATGTACTCCTGCTTGTGTATTCATACATACTGACGCTGGGGGATGGGGGGGGGGGGTTATATCGTTCCTCTCCACCGGCCTCTCTGCGTGCCTGTCTGCATGCCTATGTGTCGCCTTCACACACACACACACACGTACTCTCTGTCTGTCTGTCTGTCTGTCTGTCTCTCTCTGTCTGTCTGTCTCTCTCTCTCTCTCTGTCTGTCTCTCTCTGTCTGTCTGTCTCTCTCTCTGTCTGTCTCTCTGTTTCTCTGTCTCTCTCTGTCTGTCTGTCTGTCTCTCTCTCTCTGTCTGTCTCTCTGTCTCTCTCTCTCTGTCTCTGTCTCTGTCTCTGTCTCTCTCTCTGTCTCTCTGTCTCTCTCTCTCTCTCTGTCTCTGTCTCTGTCTCTGTCTCTCTGTCTCTCTCTCTGTCTCTCTGTCTCTCTCTCTCTCTCTCTGTCTCTCTCTCTGTCTCTCTGTCTCTCTCTCTCTCTCTCTCTCTCTCTCTCTGTCTCTCTCTCTCTCTCTCTCTCTCTCTCTCTCTCTCTCTCTCTCTCTCTTTCTCTCGCTCTCTCTCTGTCTCTTGCACAGAGCATCAGGCAGGAGAATGACGATGCGTATGCCATTGCGCTGCAAGTGATCCCGGAGTCTGAGGACATTGGGGTGCACCCGTTCTGGACGCCACGTGACGACCTGCTTGCACACGACCTGACCCCGGACCTGCTGAACAGCATCATGTTTGGCGAGCGCGACACGTACCCAGACCCAAAGGCGGTCATGTTCATCACACGCAACCGATTCGAAGAAGCATGTGCGTTCATGATGGAATGTGGAATGTGTACTGTGTCGGTGAGCTGTGTGACGTGAAGTGTGTGTTTGTGTGTGTGTGTGTGTGTGTGTGTGTGAAAATGCGTTATTGTTGGCGAGCTTCTTGACGGTCGCGTCTGTTGCTGCTGCTATACTGCTGCTGCATCGTGGTCTGCCAGTTTTGGTGCACATCCCCAAGTGCCCACATGCACGTTTGCCTGCTTGCTTTGGTGCCTCTTCGTCAGCACCATCATCTCCACTGCCTTTTCACCACCTTCAACGTGTCTTACTTCTGTCTGTACGTGTCCTTCGTTGTGTCTCACACCCCCTGATGTGCATGCAACACGCCCGCCCCTGTGACAGGCACGATGGCTGCTGCTCTCAAGACCCAACTCCCCGACATTGCCCTCGCTGGCGGCATTTCCATGATTGTGCGTTTGTTACCTGTGTGGTGGAGGGAGGAAGGAAGGGGGAACAGGACTTGGACCTAGCTGCTGTTGGTGGTGCTGTTTGCACGTGACGCAGAGCACGGACCTCACGCACACCCACATGCACAATGATGAGAGGGAGAGAGAACTGTAGTGTTGCAGATGTACGTGCACATGCGCGATGAGAAGAACAGTACTCCCATGACTCACTTACTGTCACGCTTGCTCTCATGTAAATGTATGTGTGTGTGTGTGGTTTTCTTTTTTCAGAGCTGCGGCAACCTCGAGTCATGTGGACCGCACCTCTTTGGCGTGGCATTTTCGGGCCCACACATCAAGGTGTGTGCGTGCGTGCGTGCGTGTGTGTGTGTGTGTGTGTGTGTGTGTGTGTTTGCTCATGTGCTTGGGCGTGCGAATGAGAGCTTGCTCATACGAGCACAGCTACTCGGCTGCCCTCGCTTGCTGTTTCACGATGCTCGCCACAGCCAGTGCCACTAGTCACCTCTTGACATTCTTCGTGTGCCGCTGTCCACACAACCACGTGACGCACCACACACACACACACACACACACACACACACACACACACACACACACACACACACACACACACACACACACATCAGGCGTTGTCGTTGATATCGGAGCGCGGGCTGCACGATAGCCGCGAGCTGTTGCAGGCCCTGGCAGCGACAGAGGGCCCACGCATGCGGGTGTGCATGGCCACGCTGGTGTGCTGCCTTGGCCGCTTTAGGGAGCAGCAGGAGGCGCAGGAGACGGAGCAGAAGCTGCTCGAGTGAGTGGCCGCTCTTTTGCTGGTGTCTGGGGTGATGGTTGTGCAGTGTGGCGATGAGGCCAGTTCACGAGCAGCGGGTGCATGCAAGCGATTCACACGCCATCCCGCACACAAGAGTGTTCATACGCACACGCACTTGGACGCGCAAGTTTGTGGCACACAACTCTCCTCTGTCCAGTCTCCCACCTTCGCACACACACACACACACACACTCACTCACTCACACTCACTCACTCACACAATCGCACACAATCACTTTCCGTGTGCACAGGCGGGCGTTTCCGGGCGTGCAGTCGATTGGGTACTTCAGTGGGGGCGAGATTGGTTTCAGCGAGGACGAGGTCCTCCACGTGCACACACGTAAGCGAGGATGCCATGCTTTGTGTGGCACGGGTCGTATGATATCTGTTACGCGTGTCGTGCGTACAGCTCTTGGTCTGCTGTCTGCCTACGCTTGCCACTGTTGAGTTGATTGACCTGCTTGCAATCCGATACACCCTTGTTCTCCCTCACTCATGCTCATGCACCACACGACTGTTGCAGGCCCTGGTGAATACACGTTGCTGCATGCCTTGCATCAGGACACGACAGTGTTCTTCCTTGTTGGTTTTGAGCGAAGGTAGCTCGCTTGTTGTGCTGTTCTTGTGTGTGTGTGTGTGTGTGTGTGTGTGTGTGTGTGTGTGTGTGTGTGTGTGTGTGTGTGTGTGTGTGTGTGTTTTGGTTGAAGCATGGGGCACCATGTATCAGTCTGTGGTTGGTTTGCTCTTCTAGTGGGCTGACCCTCAATCGCGCTTGTTGAAGTGCTCGGGTTCATGCAAATGCGGAACATAACAACCTCTCCATCTTGCTATGCGAATCCCCACCTTTTGTCTGACCCCCCACCTTGTGACGGGCTGTGGTGGGTCGCGCGTTGACGCCCCATCACCAGCACCAGTAAACGACAACAACAACAACACAAGAACACCACCACCACAGTGCATGTGGTCGGGGAGGACAACAATGACGTGATGCGAGATTGTTTGTTTTGGAGGAGGAAGAGAAAGCACAATCACACCACACCATTGCACGATGTCTGATCTGGGGGAAGGTGGCAGTGCGTGGGCGAAGGGCGGCATGAGCGGGAGCCAGGATGACGCGGTCGCTGGAGGGGGCAGGGCATACGCAGGCTCGCCAGGCAGCACAGAGTCGCAGCCTTTGCTGTCTTCCTCAACTGCAGCAGATGTGAGGGTTGTCACGTGCGATCTGATGCTGGGGTGTGGGTGTGTCTTGCGGTGTGCGTTGTTGAGTTGTTGCGTTATTGTGATGTGACATCACAACCACGTGTTGCACGTCGCTCACTCTCAACTCTACGATCTGTGACCAACAGGGTGGACCACGCTACACGGCTTGGGTTCTAGTGGCCACGCTGGTCGCTGTCATTGGCGGCACCTTTCAGTTTGGATACAACACTGGTGCGCTTGCATGCGCTTGCATGTGTGTGTGTACGGAAATGTGTGTGCGTGTGTGTATGTATGCGCGCATGCGTGTGCGTGTGTATGTACGTGTGTCCGATGCCTCTGTTGTCCTTACAACACCTACTCATTGTTGTCTTGCCTTGCTGTGATGTACGTGTGTGTCTGGGACAGGAGTCATCAACACGCCCCAGGATGTGATCGAGCAGAGCTTATCCGGATGTAACACATCAGTTAACTGCAACTCAACCATCACCACGTACGTGAACACCAAGCTTGTGCCCCTCCCCCACAACTGTCTACACGACAACGCGCACAAACACACACACACACACACATCCTCATAGAGGCCAACGTGCTTTTCCTGCTGTCCACTCATCTCATCACGCCCATCGCACGTACATCAACCCGTTCATTCTCATGTGGTGCAGTGTGCAGTGGAGCACGGCCGTATCCATGTTCGCCGTGGGAGGTCTCTTTGGTGGGCTGGGGTGTGGGCCCTTCATCAGCATGCTTGGCCTGCGCACAACGTTTGCACTCAACAACATCATCTTGATTGGCGCTGCGCTGATGATGGCGCTTGCACCCACCATCAAGCTCTTCACCGCCGGCCGGTTCCTCGTCGGTCTCGGCAGCGGCGTCACAACCGTGAGTGCAGAGGCAGCAATATGTGCGTTGAGGGGGAGGGAGGTGTTGTGTGTGTGTGTGTGTGTGTGTGTGTGTGTGTGTGTGTGTGTGTGTGTGTGTGTTGCTTCTCTCTGTCTCTCTATCTATGATGATTGGTTACTTAAGATATACGCACCCACGCAATCGCTCTCTTCTCCATCACCTGTGTGTGTGTGTGTGTGTGTGTGTGTGCACGACAAGGTCATCACGCCAAAAGTACCTGTCTGAGATCTCGCCCGTCTCCATTCGCGGCAGCAATCACCACCCTGTCC